AATTGACAAGTGAAGTTTCAAAATTTTTTGGTTTATTGTTGGTTTTGTTTATGACATTTCTCCAATTTCTGAAGATTGTATCTATTAAATATTTTGTAATGAATTTGGTGATTTAGATGTCTGAGGATGAGGATGATGAGAGTGATGATTCAGATGATGAAGATGAAGAGACGCCCAAGAAGGTATCTGCCAAACTTTTCGGAAATCTTAATGTTCTTTCAGTTTACAATTTCTGAGGTTTTCGAGCCATGGTCTTATTTGTTAATTTGTCTTTAAAGGTTGAAGTGAGCAAGAAGAGGGCCAATGAGTCTGCAACAAAAACTCCTATCCCTGCAAAGAAGGCAAAAGCAGCTACTCCTCAAAAGACAGGTATGGAATTTCATCTGTTTTTTAAAATTATGTGATGGAAATTAAGTCTGACTGGGTATGTGATTTGTGTTTAATTTTTATTGACAAGGTTTGTTGGTTCTGGATATTGTGACACAGTGAAATGCCATTATTGAAACCTCAGTTATAGTCTGTACATCATGGTTTCCAAATTATGGAGATGGATATAATTATTACTTGGTTATGTCTGATGATATTGTTCATTCTGATTTAAGTTCTGTTCTTTTATTGGCAAGGTCTGTGGGTTCTGGACATTGTTGTCACAGTACCAAATGCTATTAAAACTGTACTTGAAATTTTTGAGTTGTTTTGTGTATCAAGGTTTCTGAATTATCAAGATGGGTATTGATATTACTTGGTTATATCTTCATTCTCACGGTCAGACAACTTTTTAAATTATAGAATTATCCAAATCTTGATGTATCAGTTCTATGTACTCTGATGCTATTGGGAAATTGTTTATGTTCTTTGCATTTCTCCATTTTATGGACTATGGATGCCCCATGGACAATTTTGTTAGTATGATGATACTTGTATTACCATGCAGATGGCAAGAAAGGTGGTCATACTGCGACTCCTCACCCAGCAAAGCAGGCTAAGAACAATTCTCAGAGTCCTAAATCAGGCGGTCAATTCTCTTGCAGTAGCTGCAGCAAGTATGTAGACCCTAGAAGTTAATAGTTTAGATGATAACTTTGATTTTATGTTCTCAGAGGGGTTATTAATAACTTTGATTTTGGTTCTATGTTATTATACATAACAGGAAATTTACGTCTGAGGTTGGTCTACAGTCGCACACAAAGGCTAAACATAGTGGAAAGTGAAGTAGTATGCTGGTGTAAGCATGATAGGATGTGTTTATCACAAGGTTTTGGTAGATGAGAAGTAAACCGGAGGGAGGCGCTAATAGGTAGTATTGTTGAGTATTTTTGTATTTGCCTTTACATTTTTTTCTTGGGATTCGATGTTGCATTTTATATTTTTATAATACAAACTTTGTTCACTTGCTTATTTCCTAACAAGTCCTATGAAATACTATACAATTACCTGGTGAATGAGGATCCAAATCTGTGCGAGACATAAGTTGAAGATTTCGGACCTCAATAATTAAATTAATAATTTTATTTACACAATAATTAAGGACTCAATTTTTATTAAGCTTCAACGGTAATGAGAAGAAAGAATTTGTAAATTTGTTCAAAAATTTTAAAAATACTAAAGTAAGTTAATTGGAATAATTTCTATTTCTCAAGTAAGATGTTGGTTAAACAAGAAGTACAAATTTCGTAGAATGAGAAAAAAAAATTATAACTTGGAACTAGTATGCTATGGTTAGATTTTATTATCTCAAATCTGATAATTGATTAAATATTTGGAACGTGAGTAAATTATGACAATAGAAAGGGTTTAAATATGTTTTTTTGCTCTCGAATTGTTTGCCATTTTATTATTGCTTCCACAATTGAAAAATATTTAAATTAATTTTTTAATATTAATTATCGTATTACATGCTTATTATACATAATATTATTTTCTTAATTAACTTTTTATGTTAAATGTTACGTGTAGTTTTATTATAATAAAAATTAGTTATAGTGAAAATTTCAATTATTTTAGAAAATAAAAAAACAATCATTTTGTCTCTCTGTTTCCAATATTTCATCTAATTTTTTCTTGCTTTCCTCTTCTCCGAGCATAAATTAAAAAATGCCAAACATTGTATAACAAATAGAAGCTAAATAATTTATTAATATTAAATTAATACATAAAATAAAATTAACATGTTGTTAATGAAATGCCTCAAAAAGTTTCTATCCTTTATGCAAGTAATTTCTGAGCTTATATACTGTTGTTCGCTGTGCGCCAAGTCTCCTGGTAGGTGTGGGGAAGAAGAGCTGCGACATTAGGCTAAAGCCAACATTAGTGATAATTTTTGGTTGTGAATTTCATCCTTTAACATTAATTTCCCAAATTACAGGAGTTTGAGTTTCACATTGATACAAAACAATTGAGTTTTAATTTGACAATGTTTACATCAAAGAATGCTTATCATTTATTTACAGGATATGGGTAAAATATATATGTTGATCCTTCTATTGATCCTTACCCTTAATACTTCCCTCAAGTTAGAGCATGAGAGTTTCGAATACCCAACTTGCCCAATAATGTATGAGATTGCTAGCGTTCAAGGGCCTTAGATGAAGAGGTCTGTAAGTTGTTGGGAGGAGCGGATAAAATAAGTTGTGATGTTGCCTGTTAAAAGTTGTTCCCGCATATAATGACAATCAACTTCGATGTTTTTTGTACGTTCATGGAAGACAAGATTAGACGCAATGTGAAGTGCAGCTTGGTTGTCACAAAAAAATCTCATGGGCTGCTTTTGAAAGACACTTGGTGAAGCCATAAATGATTTAAACCAAGTAAGCTTGTAGGCAGTGACAACCATGGCACAATACTCTTGTCTCTACAGAGGAGCGAGCTAAGGTAGGTCACTTTTTGGTCTTCGAAGAGATAGCAGAGTCACCGAGATGTACAAAGTAAGTAGTCAAGGAACTAGTTAATAGACAAGCTGCCCAATCAGAATTACAGTATGCGAACAATTGTAAAGAGTTATTGGCGCTAAAAAATATTCTTTACCTAGGGAAGCCTTTGAGATAACGCAACACCCGGAAAGCTGCTTCTAAATATGCTTGATATGGTTCATGAAGGAATTGTGATAGAATGTGCACTGGGTAATAAAGGCCAGACGTGTGATTGTCAGATACACCAAGCGAACACGGCGGCGATATTTCTCAGGATCAACTAAAAAAGGACCAGGGGCATGGGCTAGTGTATGATTTTGCTCCATTAGTCTCGGTGCTGGTTTGACAGCAAATAAACCTATTTCTGTTAAGATATCTAGAGTGTATTTGTGTTGACATAGAAAAGGCCAGCAGAGTTACGGGCCACTTCAATACCGATGAAATATTTAAGAATACCCAGATCTTTAATTTGAAAGCACTTGTTAAGATATTGTTTAAATGATGCGTATGCCTGTGAGTTATTTCCTGCTAAAATAAGATCGTCCATATATACGAGGACAGTTAAGAAAACATCACCATTGTGATAAGTGAATAACATGTGATCTGCATGAGACTGAGAGAAACCGTAACAATGGAGAGAGGAAACGAGCTTAGCAAACCAGTTGTAGGGAGATTGGCGAACTCCATAAAGAGACTTTGGCAACTAGCAAACCTTATTTAGGTGAGGAGCAGATAATCCTAGAAGAAACTGCATGTAAACCTCCTCATAAAGATCTTCATGCAAGAATGCATTATTAACGTCCATTTGATAGAGTTCCCATCCTTTTATAATGGCAACAACCAAGAATACACGAACACTTAACCAACTTTTTGATAGAAGCAAAAGTCTTAGTGAAATCCAAGCCTTCCACTTAATTGTCACCATGAACAATCAAATAGGCTTTGTGGCGTTCAATGAAGCCATCAGAGTGGAATTTCAATTTATAAACCCATTTGCAACCAATTGATTTCTTACATGGAGGAAGATCCTTGATTGCTCATGTACCTATTTTTTCAAGAGCATCGATCTCGTTACACCTGGTCGCTCGCCATTTAGGATCCTACATGAGTTTAGAGAAACTTCAGGGTTCAACCCTAGTTGTTACAACTGTTAAAAATATAGTATGATTAGTAGAGAATTGGTGGCATGAAACATAATTAATTAGAGAATATCACGTACCTGAGGAACGACTGTGGAAAGGGGTGAGGTAGGAGGGGTCAATAACTGTTGAAACGTGTTTTTGAACTGCACGTGATTTTTTTCTGTTGAAATCAGTCAATAAAGCAGACCTAGTCTTTAGGATGTTGATAATATGGTTCCTGGTTTGTAGCTTTATAATAGGATCACGTTTTTATCCTCTATTTTTGCTATTTAAATGTACTACTGCTGATCAAATAAATAGTTTTTTATCAACATAAAGTTTAAGCTCTGCATCTTCTTCTTCCTCTGTTTCTGTCAACTTCAAATAAAACAACAAATTGGTATCAGAGCTTTCTTCTTAAGGGATCTGTGATTACGATGGAGAGTGAAACCAGCTATTCCAACATTGCTCCTCCAGTGTTTGATGGTGAGAATTATCAACTATGGGCCATGAGAATGATGCTTACCTTAAGGCTTAGGATCTTTGGGAGGCCATGGAAGAAGATTACGAAGTCGCTCCGCTGCCAAACAATCCTACTGTGGCCCAAATGAAAAATCACAAGGAAAAAAAACCAGGAAATTCAAGGCAAAGACAACTTTCTTTGCGGCTGTTTCAGCAAATATCTTCACAAGGATCATGTCTCTTAAATCTGCAAAAGAGATTTGGGATTATCTCAAAGAAGAATACGAAGGAGATGAAAGGATTCAAGGCATGCAGGTACTGAATTTATTGAGGGGATTTGAACTGCAGAGGATGAAAGATTCTGAGTCAATCAAAGAATACTCAGACAGATTATTGGGCATTGTAAACAAGGTAAGGTTGCTTGGAACTCAATTTCTAGATTCAAGAATTGTTCAAAAAATTCTTGTAACTGTGCTTGAAAGTTATGAAGCTACTATTACCACCTTGGAAAATACAAAGGAATTGTCCAAGATCACTTTGGCAGAGCTGCTAAATGCCTTGCAAGCTCAAGATTAGAGGAGGCTAATGAGGCAAGAAAGTGTTGTCGAAGGAGCTCTACCAGCTAAGCACCTGGTGGCTGAAAAAACCAAGAAGAATACTGACAAAAAAACACAAGCGACATCTTTTGAAGGTTCTGCAAACAACCAGAATCGCAGCAATGGTAGAAATTCGAAAAAGAACTACCCACCTTGTCAGCATTGCAGTAAAATAGGCCATCCGCCTTTCAAATATTGGAGAAAGCCAGATGCCAAATGTAGCAAATGTGGTCAGGATGGACATGAAGCTGTGATTTGCAATAATAAATTTCAGATCCAAGATGAAGCTGCTCAAGTTGGTGATGAAGAAGAAGATAGGATGTTTGTGGCGACATGTTTTTCAGCCAAAAGTTCTTCAGAAGTTGGCTGATTGATAGTGGTTGTACAAACCACATGACTTTTGATAACAATCTCTTCAACGATTTAAGGCCCTCAAAAATCAAGAAGATCAGAATATGCAACAGAGGCTATCTATATGTAAAAGGGATTGGAACTGTTGCAATTACAACCAGCTCAGGTACAAAAATAATTTCTGATGTCCTTTATGTACCTGAAATTGATCAAAATCTATTGAGTGTTGGTCAGTTGTTAGAGAAAGGATTTAAGGTATCATTTGAAGATTGCCATTGCCTTGTTTTTGATGCATCTGGGAAAAAAATTTTAAGGGTTAAAATGAGAGGTAAAAGCTTCTCATATGAACCTACGGAGGTGCAGATAGCTTATTTCACCAAAGCCAGCAGCACAGAAATTTGGCATAAGAGGCTTGGCCATTGTCATCTTCAAAGGATGTTAAGATTGCAGAAAAGTGACTTGACAAGGGGACTACCGGAGCTTGAAAATTATTTACCAGATTGTACTGCCTGCCAATTTGGTAAACAGAACAGGTTGTCATTTTCAAAATCAACTTGGAGAGCTTCCAAAAAATTACATCTTATTCATACGGATGTTGCTGGACCTCAAAAAACACCATCGTTGCAAGGTAGTCTTTACTACATTCTTTTCATTGATGATTTCACAAGAATGTGCTAGATTTTTTTCTTGAAATTCAAATCAAAAGTTGCCAATGTATTTTTGAAGTTCAAGAAAATGGTAGAAAATCAAAGTGGCTGTAAGATTCAAGCGTTGAGCTCAGATAATAGAAAGGAAAATACTTCAGCAGAGTTTAATTTATTTTGCGAAGAAGTTGGCATTGAACATCAGCTTACTGTCCCATGCACTCCAGAATAGAATGGAGTTAGCGAAAGAAGGAATAGATCGGTAATGGAGATGGCTAGATGTATGTTACATGAGAAAGAGTTACCAAAAAAGTTTTAGGCAGAGGTAGCCAATACAACAGTATTTTTTGCAAAATCGA